TAGTGAAACACAGGGTTTAGAGGGCCTAGGGTTTAGGAGAGAGATAGGATTTAGAGGGCCTAGGGTTTACGCGGTGTTAGAGTTTAGAGAACCTAGGGTTTAGAAGAAGGATACGGTTTAGAGGGCCTAGGGTTTAGGGTTGTGCTGGGGTTCGAAAGGGTAGGGTTTAGGAAAAGCTAGGGTTTACAAATTAGCTGTGAGTAGAACTCCCAGTCAAAACTACTGAGAGCCCAGCCGCCCTTTAAAACCTTTCCAGGGTCTAGGGTTTAGGGTTTAGGGTTTATTGTATGGGCGTGGATGGCTTGGCGAGTCCCTGTGCCGCCTCTGCGGAGTGGGCGTGCAGCGCGTTCAAAAGCCAGGCGGGCCGGCCCCCAGGTTCAGCCCTTAGGGTTTAGGGTTTAGGGTTTAGGGTTTAGGGTTTAGGGTTTGGACCTGCAGGGCGAGTGCGCAGTTTCTGGAATGCAAGTGCCGGGGTAAGAAGTGTAGAAGACACAATTCGGCAGCAGCGCAATTTGCTCTTCTGTGTCCGGCATCATTTCCACGGAAGCAGCAGCAACTTGGCCAGCAAACAGCGCGGGAGACTTTGCTGCTGCTTGCAGCTGCAGCAAAGACCCTGCTGCTGCTGCTGCTGCTGCTGCTGCGGGGGCGGGGGCGGCAGCGGCAGCAGCGGAGCGCGTAGTGCCCGCCACACGCGACAAAGAAGTCTCGAGCAAGCTTCCGGAGTGCTGCAGAGAGTCCTGCTGCTGCTGCTGCTGCTGCTGCTCAAGGTGCTGCTGCTCAAGGTGCTGCTGCTGCTGCAGCTGCTCGAGATAGAGTTGCGGCTGCGGGTCTATGGGGCTCTGGATGAAGCTGTGGGCGGCGCTGCTGCTGATTGCTGATGGATCTGCTGCTGCTGCTGCTGCCTCAGCAGAATCAGCAGCAGCAGCAGCAGCAGCAGCGAGTGCTGCGTCTGGCAGAGGGCTGAGGCCCCCGCCGCGGCTGCTGCTGCGGGCAGCAGACCTTGCCTCTGCACCCATGATAAAGGGG